TCTCCTCAGGAAACTGTCCTACTTGATCTTTCTGCTACTGGTGCTATAGATGTTGCTGATAAAAGTATTGGAAGACATTTGCTAGCCTTTTAATGACAACCTGACTAGAAACAGTAGTTACAGTAATTTTAAAAGGAGCTACAAAACCCCTCATTATTAGGTCTTTTCTCATCCATGTGGCGTAGAAAAAATTCATCATCTGCTTTTATACTTGTGAAGCTGCAAATGCTGTGTAGCCCTTTATTAAGATTCTTATAGAGTTAAATGGAACTGCTGCCCAATAGTACAGAGTAGATCTGCTCCTTAGGGGAACATGAGCTACTCAGATGTATTTGTCCAGGCAGCTGCAGTGACCACTCTCCCAAGTCTGGATAGCTACGTCCCCAAAAGAATATTAAAAATATCAAAAAGTACATAAAAGATTTTTTTCTTTCATTATGAAGAAGGATGACAGATCCTGTGTTGCAGTATCAAGAGACTGTGGTAAGTGAAGGTGGTTTTTGCTCAAACGTAGCACATTAGAAGAGATAACTAATAAACTTGCAAGGTTACAAGTAAGAACTTCCCTGGACCAACAAACAATTTGCCATCAAGATCCATACAGGGAAAAAATTAAATACCCTCTGACCTCAGTTCATTGAGAAATGTCAGTATTTTAAAAAAAATGATTTTTCACCCTCTTTGCAACTGACAACCAGTTCTCAACGCACACTGTCTTCATTTTTGCATGGTTTACTTGCATAGTCAAACTTATGTCTAAGCTAAGCTAAAAATAATGTATATATGAACTGAAGAAAACACCCATACATTCTAATACTGTAATTATTCCCTTTTTATAATATTATTTGTCTTCTGTTTCTGTAGCAAAAGTGGACAGGAGTGGAATTTATTTATTTTAAAATCCATATGTGGCCTAATTGCCAGCGTCCTTAATCTAACAGAAAAGAATTCTGCAATCCACAAATCTGAGTCATGCTCACATAACAGCTGTATTTATTAAATTCAGATAAAACCATAACATGGACTGAATTCAGTAACTTGGCACTGGAACTAAACCAGGATAGATTTAGATTAGATACATGGAAGAAACTCTTCACTGGAAAAAGGTTCAGGAACAGGTTGCCCAGGAAAGCTGTGGATGTCCTAGGCCTGGATGTGTTCAAGGCCAGGTTGAGGATGGGGCTTCGAGCAACCTGGTCTAGTGGGAGGTGTCCCTGGCCATGGCAGGGGTGTTGGAACTACATGATCTTTAAGGTCCCTCCCAACCCAAATTATTCTAGGATTCTATAATCCTCGCATTATCATGATCCTTGCCTGTAGCATATGGATACTGTTCTTAGGACTTCTTTCTGAATACAGCAATGTACCTAATAAAAGAAAATTATATTTGCACAGAGGCTTTACGAGAACTGTTAACTTATCATCATCATCATCTCTGTTCTTCCTAGTTTGCACAGATAAAAGAGTAGCTGCCTTTTTTTTTCCCATGAAGGTGTTACTAATACTTAAAATACACAGTGAAGAAAAGCACATTCAGATTGACAAGTTTAGCCTGTCATGGCAGTCAGCTTTAAATTGTAAGAACAATATTATATTTTGCTCTTGAGTTTGTGTCCAGTCATGATCAGCAATAAGGACAAGTATTTAAAGTATAATCACCTTATTGTCATTCTATTATGTCTTATTTTATCACCTGTATCTACTAAGGTAGTATACAACACACAGTAAACTTTACACAATGTCAGTGAGGGTAAAGCACAGATTTCAAAATGATTAGTGACTCCACTATTTACTACCAAGGTTTACAAGCAGCATCAATAGATGCTAAGGTGCAGTTTAAGCCTGCATGAAGATTCATGTATTTCAGAAAGGTTTCCCATAGGTAAAGGGACATGATTATACAGATTGTAGAATCAGGTCTCAGTGTACTGTGACAGCTCAATCCAAAAATAATAAATACATGAAGCAGCTCCACTGGAAGGAGGACTCATCTAGGGAAGTCTGCTAATGACACTGCACTGTTGCGCTGATTAATGAGGCTATAAAATGCTTAATTTATTTCAGAGTTTTAAGCAGCACCTCAGAGATAAAAAAAGATTTGCAAAAAAAGCCCTCAAAAAGTCTTTAAAAAAGACCATTACTAATAATATTAAACATTATATTGTTAGGGTGTTCCATACATACTATGGTTGACCAGACAGAGTGAAATTACTATCAATAGCTAACATTAATTTGCCTAAAGTCAGCATTAAAATATTACTGATGATAGAGAGAAATGGTAATTGTAACGTTTGCTTTCTGTAATCACTTCATAGTGTAACAGCTAAATAAACTGTTGTAAAGAAAACAATGGAAGTATCATGTATGTTTGTGTACATACATGTTTCAGCTCCAGTAAAATGACAAATTGCTGAGTAACAAAATGCCTCTCTGCAACAATTTTCAGATTATCTCAATATCTCTAGCACAATAAAAAAAGAATGCCGTTGAAATATTACAGACACCAACACTGTAGATAGGATTGTAATCACAGTGTTTATTCACCTGGCTTATTTTCTCAACAATTGCTTCCTAACAGAGGAGATGTTTATATTATGACTTTACTGGAATCATACTGCTTCCAGAATTTGCTACTGTCCAGAAAGTGCTATGAAGACAGAAGTAGAAACAAGTTTTGCATTTCCATTTGGCTGACTCAATCAGATTAATTTTCATTGACTGCTCCACATGGGTCAAGAGCAGGGAGTTAGCACGAGGCTTACCTTCAAGCTCTATTCTACCCACTGGTACCACCGAACCGGAACATGTTATCCAAATGGGCATTAGAATAACATATTAATCAAACCTTAAGAAACTGTTCCTACAGGGTTTTCTGTTGTTGCTGTTTAATCTAGTTGCTTCAGATATTTTAAACTTAGCGTACCAAGAGTCAATAGGTAAAAAACCTGAAGCTCTGTTGAGACAAATGGCGTTTACTGCCACAAAGCAGGCCTCAGGTGGCAAGAAGCCATGTAAACAATGCAAACTGAGGACTACCAAGCTCCTTAAATCTTGCTCGTGAGTACTAAAACTGTGAACCTAGCCAACTCCAAGAATAACAAACAAAATTCAGTTCACCCTAAGAACGGATGAGAGATGTTTCCTAGTCAAGTAAGAACAATGATTCTTTGCCTCTAAAAGTATAAGCAACAGAATGAGCATGCTTCTGGACTTTTTAGGATATTGAGTAACAACAGGACTAGGGGGAATGGGGCAAAGCTGGAAGTGGGCAGATTCAGGCTGGACATGAGGAAGAAGTTCTTCACCATGAGAGTGGTGAGACCCTGGAATGGGTTGCCCAGGGAGGTGGTTGAGGCCCCATCCCTGGGGGTCTTTAAGGCCAGGCTGGATGAGGCTCTGGGCAGCCTGATCTAGTGGGAGGTGTCCCTGCTCATGGCAGAGGGGTTGGAACTGGGTGGTCCCTTCCAACCCTGACAGATTCTGATCTGTTTTAGCAGAGGACTTTAGAGCCCTAATGGCTCAATGGTTGGACTTGATGGTCTTGGAGGTCCCTTCCAACCGTAAAGGATTCTATGATTCTGTAATTATCTGCAAATGTATTGAAATAATAGCATCACGTCTCTCTTTTGTCCAGCTACAAAAATATACAGGGATGTTTTTTTCATTTTATATATAGCCCAGAAACTATAACAATATTGTACTAGCTCCCTTTCCGTTGAAGTGGAAGGTCTTCCAATGAAGATTTTCTGTTGTATCCCTTGCGGCAACACCATGGCTCACCCTACTAGTAGTCTGCAGGTGCTAGACCTCTTTGTTTACTTGTTTCTGACTTGCCTTCAGTCTAACCAATATGAGAGATACATAGGGAAATAAACAAAAACGGTACCACACGGTAAGCAGCTGTAAACCACACATGCAAAGAGATGCTGTAAACAGCTATAAGCATGTTTTCACTATGTGGCAAGAAAAACACAGAGGGGTCTGTCTCATGAGCAGATAATATGCCTTTAACGTCCTGAGACAGAACAACGCAGTTAGAACACAGGAGCTGACACAGCAACCCTGCTGCTATCCTGTACTCAGGTAGCCCTCGCACATCTGCTCTCCCAGACTTCCTTTTAGTGCCAATACCCTACCAAAGGTAGCACCTGCTTCTCTGTTTTGACAAATTTAAGAGGATAACACCCTCTGAACAGAAGTATTTATTTTTAAAGGAAACCCCAGCACAGACAAGACTTAGGAGCACAGCTATCAATCTGTTTACCAAGTGACCCTAACTCTTCTGTTTTGATCCCTTTTTGGAAGATGATTAGCAGGGACAGCTAGTATCTGTTTGGACTAGATGGCACAGTCAAATGCAGGGCAACGGATAAGGCAGTATAAACAACAAGTTTAATTCAGTGTACCAACCACATTCACAATCCAGGAACACTAAAGGAACCGATATGTGCAGTTGAAGAGGCCAGCAAGGCCTTCCACCACTACAGGATCACTCAAATGCTTTGAGAAGTTGTAAGGGTAGCAAACAGTCCATTCACTAAAGACAAAATTAATGACTTCAGGTGACATTTTAAAACATATTTATTTAAGCTGAAGGTAGCAAGTAGGTCATCTCTGTGTGTCAAATCAGAAGAGCAACTAAGCAGAGTAGGGAAGGATATTTTAAAATCATAACCAGCAATAAACATAATAAATGTTTTCTTTCAGTAAAAAACCCATAAAGTGCATATGGTAGAAATGCAGAGCAGATTCATACCAACCCAAGTAATTAGGCTTAGAGAGAAAATGTCTGTTTCATTGTTCTAAAGTGCAACCATTTAAAGTATTAAACATCTGCAATGAACCACTGGACTTAAGACTGCCATTGATAAAAGTTAGACTTTGAATTTTTTTTTCCTAAGACATTCCAAATATTTAACACTGAAAAATAATGTTATGGCCAAAAAAGAAAAATACAGATGAAACAGCCCATAAATATTTTCAAGAATTGCCATACCCACCTGCTACATTAAGCTTTTCAACTGCTCCTAAGCTGGGACCAGGCGTGGTGGTATTGTTGGTAGAGTTTGCTCCTGTTCCATTAAGTACAAGATTTTCCACCTTGGACTCCAGCTTCCCAATGCGCTGCAAGATATTATCCAGCAAGACAGCAAGCGTCTTCTTCAAATCTACGCATGAAAGTGAAAGTTAAATTACTTAATAATGCAATGCACACTGTCAGATAGAATAAAAAAAATAGATAGAAGAATGAGACAGGAATATATACAGACACTTTTTCAAAGCAAATCTTTGCCATTAGCAGTTCTGTGCACTAACATTTCCTACTTGCTTCACTCTCAGACACACCTCCCTGGATGTGGAACTTGTCTTCCTGTGTATTTTAAAGAGCACACTGGAACTCACATACATATATATATATATATGTATAAATCTTCTATACTAAGCGTGAAGCATGCACACAGGGGAACAAAAAAATGCACACTTTGTAATAGCTGAAGGAATAAGAAGCTGCTTAAACAATACTGAATCTAAACCTAAATCCAGATTGAAGCACTGTCAGAGGAATACTCTGTCAGATGCTCAGTCACTTGGAAACAAAAATCCCCTTCTCAGAAGGGATAGCTTTGAGCTGGTACAAAAATCTTTCTCCTGCATCTCCTCCACCACAAACAAGTTCAGCCTTTTTGTCATATGTACAGAACACCATAAATCACCTGTTTAGTTTCTTCAGTCTGTTGGTGATTGCCTCTACCTAATTGGTCTGACACAGCACTTCCTTCCAGGGGAAGGCAACAAACAATAACAGGAGTTTGCATAAAATGACAACCCAGAAAGAATTCTCTGATATTTTTTTTCCCTTTTCTTTTGTTCAGATTTCTTGAAGTAATACAGACAGTTGGATAAGCTAAAAGAACTGTGGGCAAGAGGGGAAAAATACACCACTGTGAGACTAAACTGTATAATTATAGTGGCAACAAGCCAAAACAAGATGAAAGAAAGTATTGTTCTTTGTTCACTTACCCTTGTCTCAGGATTAAAGAATTTGGCATGATTCATTTACATTATTTTCCCATTTAATTACATAAAGTAATTACATGTGCATATGTATAGTAATTATCTGCTTTCCACAACTCAAATAGCTTTATGATCTGTAATAGAAAATTTCTCCATACATCTGAAGAGATTCCTCTGCCCCTAGAGAAGCTGTATCATTTTTGAGACATTACTTTGTGCCTCCTTTATTTTTTTTTCCATGACTAGCTCAACTCTTGTGCAAATGAGAGAATAAATGACAAAAGACTATTACTCTTAGAAAGCTTATGATTCTTTATTCCAAATAAAAGGAGAGTTATACTTATTCCACAGAACCATAAAATAGATATTCTTCTTTATAACTGTTTTCCTTTGTCCTTTATAGGTCAGAGGATGGACTCTTGAGCACTAATGATCTGGACTAGTTTAAAGGGGGTCCAGAAGTCACATAATGGTATAGTGTGCAGAAG